TTTTAAAAAGTATCCAGACCTTAAACTGAAGCAACAATAGCTTTCTGTGCAATTATGGGTCTTGAGATTGTCTTGAACTGTGGTGTAGTGGATGGGGTTTAATCCTGCTTGAGGGGATGGGGGACGGTAGTTAATTATTGTCCAAAGTAGAGACACTTCAGCAAGAGAGATGGCAAGAATCTCAGTCCAGTACCACCTCCTCCCTCCCCTATGTCCCCCAACCCCTGTTGTTTGGGTACTCTTGTGTGAGAAGTCAGGAAGAGGGGCCTTTTACATGTCCCAGGCCTTACAAACTAATGAGATGTCTGGAGTGGATGAGACACTCAACTTTGGATGGGTTTTCTACTTCCCAACTTCAAAAGAAATCTGGGGGTTGCAGAATTTTGAGGGGTTGACTTTTTAAAAATCCTAATGCTGACTATAAATGTGTTTTTGGTTTTTTTTTTTTAATATTTCAAATAGAGTTTAATAGATGAGGAAGAAGATTCCTAACAAATCCTGACTATAACATCAGCGATCAACAAATGACAGCCAAGTCACAGTGACTACTGGAGTACCATAAACCTCTTTTTTTTTCTGGACCAAACATGAGTGGTAGTTTTAGCACTGAAATATCCAAAAGTAAAAACAGCAGGAGAGAAATGCAAAGAATAAAGGACAAGTAAAACATGAAGAACCTGGAGCTATCAGTTGTTATCATGACTTTGATGCTATGCTATCTGAGCAGAATGTACCTCTACATACCATCTTTCACTTGGCTCACTGAGCAACTCATTTTTTGACAGACTGGTAACCGACTGGATAGTTTATTCTCCATAAGAATGTAAATTGGTATGAGACTAACCCACTATTAAGCATTTGCTTGTCATCTCAAACAGGCTTTTATTTAGTACCTTTACACAGAAGAGGGAGTAAATAATGACAGGTGAAAAAAGCCCTCCTCTGGTAAAAACTAAAACTTAAAACTCCTGTGGATACTTAGGTATTTTTCATAGCGTTAATATACAATGGGCATATTCAACATTGTTCTTCTAGTACTGTAAATTCATCTATGTCTTAACACTCATATTTAATGAGTTTGTCCCTTAGTTTATTTTAAATCTATAAAATTTCTAATTAGAACTGTCCTGGCAGTGTATCAGAATGGGGAAGGAAATGCTAAAACCGTTCTCTTTGTGAACAGAAAATATTCTCAATTCAAAACATAAAGTGTCATAATTGTTCTAGAGCAAGAGCTGCACTCAGGCTGTCTTGAGTTAATGCCAAAGCCATTTTTGTAGCCACTTTTTGAGAGAGAAGACATCTTAATTAAACTTTGCCTTTGTTGAAGACATCAAAAAAGCTGCTGGCAGAGTGTGCATGCTAACTGCAATCATGCATCCTGCCGTCACCACTGACAAGGAAAAAACCCAATAAAAGTGGGCTGCAAGTGACTGCTGTCACACAGATTGCTGTGGAAGAAAGCTGTTGCTTGTCTGTTCAGTATGTCTTTGAATTTTAAATGACAACCTCTAATAACCACAAGTCAGAAGAATTTTTTCCACAGTAAGGCATTGCTGACATGTCACACTGAACTGTTCAACTTAGAAGTGAAGGTGCAAAATAAGATCAGTGAAAACCATTAGGAGATGTTGAACTTTGATTGTTGATCCATGGTGAAGTTTGCTTTTTTTGTTTCTTTTCCCCTGATGTCAAGGTGTTCAAAATTGTATAGAAATGGTATTGCTCACAGAAAACACTTCCCTGTGGCAGCTTGGACTTTAGGAAAACTAATAGCATTATATCTATAATAAAATCAGGAGAGCTGAGAGCTCTTTGATGAGGTTGTCTACCCTTATCATGTTCATTTGTGGTTTATTATTTTCTTTGTATTTTCTTGCCATTCTCTTTCTCTTACATGTGAGAAGATAAAGGTGTGTGTGGGGTTTAATGGGTAAGAATAAATGCTGGTCTGTCTGTCTGTGTCACTGCCATTAGAGTTAAAGAAAGGTAATATACCCAGTACACTTATGGACAGGCAGCATCAATCTTCTGCTATTTTTTTCTGGGCTTTGCTGCTCACTCCTGCTGTCTAGTAGACAGTATTTAAAAAAAAAGGTAAACTAAAAGAAAGTGTGGTCAAGAAGGATTTGAGCAGTTCATTTGTAAAACATCTGAAGCTAGGACTGTTGCTGTAATGTTATTAAGTGGCAATGGATAGAAAAAATGCCATGGAAATATAGGGACTAGCAGATTTCTCTGCTTGCTGCTTAGGTGTTTCAAAAAGGACCTGAAAGAGTAATTTATCTTTCTGCCAGGAGAAGAGATAAAGTCCTTGCTTGACAGGATTGTCTGCTTCATCTTGGAGATATTTACCTTGAAGCTGAATGGAGTAGTCTTTGTGACTGTTGCTTATTATGACTCACATAGAGATTGATGTGTCATTTCATACAACTCTATCACTAAATCTGGGTTGCATTTTGGATAAGATCAAAGAAATACCATGTCTAATTTCCAGTTCCCCCAGTTTCCTGACCACCGTTGAGCTAAAACATTTAGTTGTTATTTACTTTGATTCTGTGATCTGATGCATTGTGATATATGTTTACTAAAGATTAGAATCAAGAACTAATGAAAAATGCATGATTAAATTACTTGTCAGGAATACAAGTTTTAATCTTGCTAAGGACGCGGGGGCCTTAAGGTAGAAAAGATGTTCTTAGGTAAAAAAGATTATGATAATCCACAGGAAAAAAAAAAAGAAGAAACTTTCAGTTACTACATAACAATAGTTATTATTTTGTTATGTTTGAGTTTGAGTGAACAAATAAATGGAGAATTCATACCCTGTCTTGTCACACGTAGGCTGAAAAGCTGGCTGAAATGGATAGCTATTCACCAAGATACTTTCATTCAGGTATAATTTTGAGTGGTTGCTGAAGCAGGTTTAACTTTAAATAATGTTTTTGATGAAGACATACTGAAATGATTGTTAGAAAGTAGATTTGTCAATTTAGAGAAATTAATATAATGAGTATAAAGAACAACTTTGAAAGTCACTTCTACGTTTGACATTTTTCCCTTGAAGCAATAGATGTAAACACCTGGTGACAGTGAGTTGACTCTGCTTTGCCTTCCTATGAAACTTCTTTGCACTAGAAAGTGTTGATAAATAATCATTTATTCATGATTCCGTAAGTGTAGAAAGTGTTTTTCAAAATGCTGGTACTTTTCCTCTAAATTATATTTAAAGATCTAGTTTTAATAACATTTTAAAAATTATTTTATTTAGTCTTTAAAATTGCCATTTTAATACATGTTTAGCAAGCATGTTTAGAATTGCCAGTTTGGAAGTACACATTGAAAGCATATGTTGATATGAAATAGCTCTTGTCTCCTTTTTAAATTATTAAAATAGTTTTGAGTTGCCTGATGAAGTTGGTGGAGACGTTCAAAGATAATACACTTTAACATGTTCATAAATTTAAAAAAAAAATATTTCTTTCTGAGTATTCCTATGTAAAGACACAAAAACTTTTGCTAATTTAAAAATTCACAGAAAGCAAAATCTGCAGTTACAATAAAGTTAAAAAAATAAGTTGTAATGTTCTTACATGTTAATCATCAAATGCTAATGTTATTTATTTCCATGCCTCAGAAGTCTTACAGTGTTACTATTTATAGTAACAATTTTTATTATATTTACAGTTTAATCTTGTATTTTTAATTTAAATGGGTTTATTATTTAATATGACTTTGTAATTTGGATATTCAATAAAAACATTTTCAGAATAATTTCCTAGAACTGAGCCTCTATAGAAAACTTCATAATGTACAACTTAGAGCTGGTTTTGTTTATTAGTGTTTATTTTCACCTCCCTGTAGGATACTGTAAGTAACCCAGACTGATTAATTGTGAGAGCAATTATACACAGATTCAAGGAGGATTTTATGTTCTGGCCACAGGGTTGCATGGAAGTACCTTCTGTCCTAGAAGTTCACCTCTTTGTTACGTATCTGTATCTAAATCTTTATTAATTTAGTTTGCTATTGTAGAGCTAAGCATGATATGACATAGATGCTTTTAATGCTGATGTTCTCACAAGTTTATGTACTGGCTACTTGGAGCTGGGTCTAATAGTTAATGTTTAAAATATTAATATTGATATCACACAGAGGTAGTGTGTTGATTTTTTTTTAAGATGTGATGTCTTCTTTCTCTGAACCAGTTTTGCAACAGCTCAGTTTATCATTTGGTAAGGCAACATCCATGCTGTGAATCAAAAAGTTTATGACTTAGCAGTCCCTGCCTAATTCTTAAAAATTTTCATAAATGTAGAGTATTAAAAAGATTACCTTCATTGTTCAGCTACCTGAACTTTCCACAGCTTTAGCTTACTGAGGTTTTTCCCTCTGTTGAAGAAGGGTTATATCTTGCCCCGAGTGTGGGTGTTTTTCCCTGGGGGATGTAAGAGGGCAGGTGGGTTGAATCCGCTTCTAGACTGGTAAAATATTTTGGGAACTCTTCAAATGGTACTGTTACAAATTATACCAGATTAGTCTATCACTTTTGGTAGGAAAAAACCAAACCTTTTCCTCCCAGTTTCCTTAAAACTTATGTGCAGTACAGTAAATTACTAACATGTATGAAATGAGTAGGGTTTTTCAAATGTTTTGTTGTCTTCTGTAAGGGACTATACTTGTTGCTGAAGTCTAAAATTTTTTGCAGGGCTTTATCTGGTATAAGCTTTTGACTGTGGGTATTGGGATGTTCTTTTTACTCTGTTTTACCTGTGTTAATTATAATGAAGAATGCTGGAGGCAGAGAACAGGACACAAAACTGATCTAATAACACTCTGCAGTGAGATTTTTCTCCATCTCCATCAGCACACATCCTGTTGTAGTACTTACTTTTAAGACAGCAATGCTGCTTCACCAAACTTCCTCCTACAGTGAGAGAAGTAGGGGTAACTCTTGGAAAAAGTTTTGAGGCTAGTGACAAAATATGTTTGTCTTTCAGATCCCCAGCTCAAGGGTATAGTGACCAGGTTATATTGCAGGCAAGGCTACTACTTGCAAATGCACCCCGATGGAAGTCTCGATGGAACCAAGGATGACAGCAGTAATTCTAGTAAGTGACTGCCCCAGGGGAATGTCTTAATCGCACACGCAGATCGCATCGCTCGAATGTGTATGCACAGACACCGTGTTAATGCCTTTGGAGGGTTTCTGAATGTGTTTTGTTCAAAGGAGGAGGGTTCTTTCTGTCTGTTTGAAGCTTGACGACCACCAGCATGGCTCATGCAGGACATTGGCCTAAATATGTTCCCTCTTAAAAGAAAAGTGTAAGTGCCCATGGGCCTTAGGAGTGAGATATTTAGGCCAATGATTGTCTTCTGGTGATATTATAAAAATGGTAAAATGCTATTAAAATATTTTTTAATAAAATTATATATTTAACATAATTTTTTGTCTTCCAATAAATAACAAAGGAAAAGAAAAATGGAAACTAAATTTCCCTGAAAAATCTGAATATATAGGCCCTGATTCAGCAAAGCAAATAAATGTACATTGAAGTATTAAAATCCTGCTTAAAACACACGCTGAAGTACCTTGCTGAATTGGGGCTAAAAATCCTACAGTCCCCATACCAGAAAGAGTTCCAATGACCTTAAGAGAATTTCTGCTGCTGTAGGCTGCATCGGTGGCAGTTTTCAAAAATATTCCAAACAAAAGCCATCTTGAAAGGCCATGTTGGCTGACTGCTTTGATACACTTTTTCTATGATACAGCCACATATTTTTGTTCAATGAGGATATATGTGTTTGATAACTTCAGATGCAAATGATAATTAAAAAAACCTATTCTTACTCTAGAAACAGTTGATTTGTATTTTGTATATTTTAATTCTAATGGCATATTTAAGTAACGTTTCTGTGTGACCTTGAGTTCTATTTTAGGCACTTTTAATACAAAAGATTTATCTTTTTGTTATGCGTACATATACATAAATAAACCTTCAGTTTCCTCAAAAATCTTGGAATTAGGCTACAGAAATTAGGGATTTGAGGTTTCTGCTTTACATTTGTAAGGTCCTTATTTTGTCTGCATGGCTGTCATTTATAACACTTTTCATCAACAGATAACATTATCATCTTTTATTGTTCTGTTTTTTTTTTTTAAGTGAGAAAAGCTGATTAATCTATCTTGATGTGTATTTCTCTGCTTGCTTTCCAAGTGTTTTTGTTCCTCCCCACACCCTCCCTCCTCACCCCATTCCTTCTTTATTTTCTGCCCTCAGTATGTTCATCTCTCATGCCCACTTCTGTACTGGACCTTATATAGACAAGACTATTATTACCTTTTGTAGAAGCTTTGCCTAGATGAGGTCTGAGAAATATATCTTAGAGTGTGAGTGTGTATCTCTCTCTGCCCATCTCTCTTATTTTCAGCTTCAGCGAGAAGGTGTGTATGACTACAATAATTTTGTAAAGTTTTATTGTTTTTTTCTGAGGGTTTCTTAAAACGTTGGAACTCTATGAATTTGGAGTCTTTGCAAAACTATACCATACTACTTTTCTCTTTTTACTGTTGTCAGCTTCACAAATCTTCCTTTTATTTTTTTTTCTCTTACTATTTAATTTACCTTTCTTTCCCTTTTTTCCTGCCTTTCTGGTTTTCCCTCTGTCTATCCATCTCTTTTACTCTTCTTTTTCCAAAATGCAGAATGACTTATAATATTATAATTATTATATATTCTATGTATCATTATAATATTACAATTAATATTATAAATATTAGGAAATATAAAGCTTCTCCAAACTCAACCAAATACCAAATAGCAGTATTGTGTATTTTGGATAAATATTGTTAGATAACATTGTGGTTTACTTCAAAATTATTTTTAAGCTAATTTTTTTCCATAGGAGTATTTTTTCTGTCTTTAACTGGTGTGATTCTCTAATTTCTTATTCACTAGTCCAATTTTACAATATTTTTTAGTAAAGGCAGTTTAGAACAGAATGCAAAATTATTGTGTTTGCCAGGAAGGCCTGTAATGTCCACCTGAAATTTTTCTGCTATAGCTGTATCAACACTATATTAAGAGCTGAAAAGATTGATCTGGTTGATATATTCATTAACATAAGAAGATATGAATATGTGTCTGTTTCTTTTGTGCTGTCAGTCTTTCTCGTCAGTTTTTTCCCTTTCAACTCTATTTCCTTCCATTTCCTGTTGAACTTTTTTTCCTATTGCTGTTGTTTATTGCAGCATATTTTGGTTTTCCTTCTCTCTTTTACTTTAAAACAATAATTTTCTCATGGATAGAATTTCTACTGTTTTGGTATTTTATTTTCTGAGCTCCTTAGCATGATAATTTCTGTCTGAGGCTTACAAGTAAATAACTTTTGGCAGTGGCCCAAGGAGAAAATGCTGCTTCTGACCACGGTGTTTGCAGGCTGCCTATTTAATGTGCCCAGTGGGTGAATGGATGGATGTATATTAACTGTCAGTAGGACAGATAATATGCTTATCTTGATAGTGAAGATGACTTCCATTTGATTGTGTTCATAAAAAAAAAGAAAATACAGACTGCCAAAGGGTGTGCATCTGTACCAGCCTTCCACCTGTTTTCTCCACTATTCACTGTCCCTGAAGACAGTGCACTGACCATCTAAATAGATGGGTGTCAGAGAAGCAAGGCGTGAGAGACAGAAGAAGATGTATTTTCTTTTTTGTCTTCAGTAAGGAAACTGTTTGAAGCTTAGTCATGCTGCTACTTTTTGTGCTGTTGCAGTGTATTCTGTGTCAAGCAGTTAGAGGAGTGCTTGAAGTTAAAATTCCCTCAAATGCCTATATCATTTTGTACTCATTTTATATGTATGTCAGTAAACAATAACTTACACACTATTGGAGTCACAGTGTTATAGTGGTAGAGGTAGTGCAAACCAAGATTAAGATGTCTTTAAAGCTTCTCAGTAGTCTCTTTAATGTGACATTTTTCTTCTATCTGAAGTCAAAGTGAGTTGTACCAATGGATTTAATCAGCTGCTCTAGTGCAAGCCATTGTCCCAGCTTGCCTTAAGTCTGAGTAAAGGCTAGAGTCTGCAGAGAGAGATGGCAAGATTTTTAGTGCATCGCTGCACACAAATCCTTCCATGAAAAAGGAAGAAAGACGGGACTACTTGCAGTTATATCCCTGAAGGTGCTTTCGTCTGCTCATGTTGATGGTCATGATAGTAGAACCCAACCTATAAAGAGACTCATAGGTTTCAGTTCACTGTTGTAATTTCTATGTATAACTTTTCCAAGTTAATCATATTCTGTGAAAGAGTGAGAATTAATGCACCTACTGGTTAATGGTTCTGAGTTTCCTTGGATCAACATCACTAGATCAAGGCTGTTAGCTTAAACAACCCTATGTGTTCAGTCTGTGGGGTTTTTTTCCCCAATCTCAATCATATCTGAAAAGAGGCTTTAGTACACTGCTTTTCTTCTTTTAGTTGGTTTTCTCTTTTTTGGTTTTCTGATGCCTTACTGTTTATGGTTTGCTTTTGGAGCTTGCTTGGAGCAAAGGCAGGAGTGACTGTGGTTAAAGCTGTAGGCTTCATTACTGGAGTCCAACTCACTGTAGCTGTCCCTCCCTAGCTCTGATTTCCCTGGATTTTACAGATGCGAATGCAGCTTGCTTCAGTGTTGTCCATGGGCGTTATCATTATTAATTAGGAAAGCTACAAGCTACTACACAGAAATCATAAAGAAATAGAAGAGATTTCCATATGTGCTTGTGGTAACAAGCATTACATTCTCCTCCCCACCAAAACCAGCTCATTTTTAGGTTTTGGTCTAACTTCAAAGTTTTGTCTTATGAATGAAGGGTGGGTACTGTAGGAAGACTAATAAATTTGAGAAACAGACAATTCTAATTCTTTAATTTCTGAGATCAAAACCCTAAATTTTTTAGATCTATGGCTTATTTTGATTCACCTAAAGAGTGTATCTCAACCAACAACCACTGAAAAAATTCAACGTAAATGGTCATACTTTCCTTTGTAGAAGATAGACTCTATTGTGACACTCAAATGTTGCTATCTGTGCCCCTTATGAATTACTTTTATGCTTAGAACATGTTTACAACATGCTGTAATTAAAAGAGTGTTACTCATTGGTAATTAGCCTTATTTCATAAACTGATAAATTGACAAAGTTAACATTATCCAAGCAACTTTGATTTGGTTTTGCTGTGCACATCTCTTCCTTTATTATTCTGCAACATGCTTTACCTCCTTTGTGGTGCTTGGTACCTGGTAGAGTTGCTGTTCAAGAAAATCCTGCAACCATATAACATTCCTTTATTTTCATCTTTTAATGCATGCTCCTAATATTCTATTTATATCTTCCAAATTGAATATGGAAGTATTAACTTTGTAATGTCTTTCTAAAGTACCTACCCCTATCACATTTTGGTTTGAAGATACTAATAAAAAAATCTTTACTGCAACCTTTTAAGGTAAAGGAGATAATTAGACAGAAATAAAGCACATGAAGATTAAAAAACAACACCTGCAGTGCTGTTAAATTTGGATTAATGAATGTTAAATTTGGCTTACTGCACTGAAATACCTGCAGCCTCATTTTCACACTGCTTTTTACTGAAGTTTGTCTTCCAAGAATTATACAGGCATTTACTCATCTACTTACACTACCTCTGGGAATTAGGTAAGCCTGTTTCTTCCATTGGGATAATCTTAGTCTAACAGAGTCAGTGAAGGCCATGTTCGGTCATAATAAAAAGTATGTTTTAATTATATCTTATGTAAAGTCAGGCTGGTAGAATGGGTTTGCTCCATAAGAGATGGATGGACAGACCTCTAAATATCAACCTCTTTGCACTCATTGCCAGTCTAAAAGATGTTCTGAAGGAGTTGTCATTTTTGCCTGTGGGCCTGCAGATGAAAATAAATTAAAGAAATAGTTGCCCTGATCTGATTGGAGATTTGGTGCTGTGGAAAGTTTTGTTAACTGACACAAGGGCACAGCACATTCAGAAGAGACAGCAAATTTATAAGCCTTAAGCAATCGTTTTTAGCAAGCTTCTTAAGAAAAACAGTGATCTCTAATAGCAATTGTCTTGTAGGTACAAGTCAGTTGTACCTAAATAGACTTTCATAAGGAAATGGAAATATCTGATTTTAGGCATTTCAGATTTCAAATTAATAGGATATGATGGTGTTGCATAAAAGAAGGAAAAAGTTATGTGGTGGTTTTGTATTTTGCTCAAGAAAGGAGTGATTGTTTATAAAGAAAATAAAAGTGGACTTAAACTTTGGCTAGAGCTCTGTGAGGATTAGAGTCCAACTCAGATTTGGAGTTCCTGCAAGTCTCCTCCATGACACCTAAACAAATAACCATTTTCATGCCAGTTTTTCCTGCTAACTGCCCCACACCCCCATTTTCTGATTTTGTGTATGATGGGAATAGGTTTGCAGGCTTAGGAGAAGGAGGAGAAACCGTATGCTTTATGGTCACAGTTTAGGTGGAATACAAATCAAAGCTAAGGGACTGCACAGACTCAGTACTGATAAGAAGAAAGGGTTTTACTCACACCATTTTTGCCAATCAGTTGCTTTGTTTTTCTTCATGTTCCCACATCTTATATACATTTGGATTCACCAGGCTTTCTGCTTAAGTGTGCAGCATAGGAGCGCTGAGCACCAGGAAGAGTTCTATTTCCTAGGCTGAAAGAGGGTGCCCCCCTCTCTCAACTCATCTATGAGCTCACTGAACTGCGTTTAGGTATGTTTAGGAGCCTCACTCCCTGGTTAGTTTTGGTTTTGGATCAATATCTTAAAGACAGAAGGAAGCTGGGGAAATGGTTCTTTTTCACAGCCCCCTCAGGTAAGAGCATAGCTTTGATGTGCTGAACTGTAATGCCAGCAGACTCTGGAAGGCTCTCTGCTTTTCTCAAAGCAGGTTCTTATTAGAATGGGGGATAGCACAGTGAACCCTAGGAAGGTTTGAAATGTATAATTAGTCGCAAAAGTCTTGTTCAGTGAAGAGTGCTGCACAGTCATGTTCTGGAGGAAACTGAATTTCCTTTGACCACCTTCAAAGCAGCTAAAAATCACATGCTGTACCTTACTGGTGCATGTTTTGCTGACCCCAGTATGAAGCCCATTGCTGAACATTTGTCAGTTGAAAACTAAGTGTAGACTGGCCTGCCTAGTTTCTACCAAGTCTGAAAGATTTTGTGAAATTTACTGAATTTTCTGTAAGTGCAGAATTGCAGCATTTCAGATCATACTCTAAAATTTTATGGTCTTAGGCTAATTACAGGAGCTCTGAAGTCTCCAATTAAAAGCTAGTGGCAGTAAAAGATACATTACATGCCCTCTTCAATGCTTTCTAAATTCACCTGCAACTATAGATTGCTCTAGTAATTTTATAGGTTACATAAAACACTGCCATGTTACAAGCCTCTAATTCTTCTTCACTGATGGTTGGGGTTTTTTTTCTAGCTTTGCTGCTTTATTTTTATTGGTAATACAGCAAATAATATCTATGTTCCAGAATGTTTTTGACTGGACCTCTGCGATTTGGAGTTATTTTTCCATAGCAGTTTTCATGGCTGACTTGTCTTTTGTGTTCACTTCTTTTCTTTATGCAAGTATTGTTTGTTTTTCCTTTCTGGTGTCCCTTCAATTGTTGTTGTTCCCTTCTAGCGTGGTGTTCATATGCAGGTTTCCCCTCCCCCACAATTTCTTTTCTTCTAGGAAAAAAACACCAAACTCAATTGCTATCTGAAACTTAGTTTTGCTCTGACAGACTCCCTGTCCACCATCCACAACAATGATTTTGCTGGCTTTGAATGGTTTCCTTTCAGGGTAATGACTTTATAACTAATTTTTAACTTTCAGATTATATTAAACATTTTAAAGCCCTCAAGCCATGCAGTGTTTAGCCTATATACTCTTAGGATATCTTATCTGTGAGTGCCATATTTCACTGTTTATCATAATATAGAGAAGGAACCTTGTCTGTATCCAGGATTTTTCTAGGGAACAGCCCACTAAGATCCTAGCATAATGGAGACTTTTGGAAATGACAGAAATTAAAATGCTATTTATTTGTGCTAATTCTTGTCATCTCTTCTAGTCTTCTTTATAAACCCTCCCAAAAATTGTTACCTGTTCTTCTAGAGCTCTTTTGAATATATTTTTCTTTCTATATCTTTAGGAAGTACTCTGCTACAATTCCTAGCTTTATACTGGCTTTTTGTGTTCGTACAAAGATCTAATGTTGCGCATTCTTTCTCTGCATGACAACGTTGAAGGAAAAGTATCTTTTTTTTTTCATCCACTTCTATCTTTAAATTCTACTAGTCAGCCTATGTTTTTTTCTCTGTTGAAAAGATTTGATCATCTTCATTATAAACAAACTGTGGATTTGTGTCCTTTGACCAAACAGGAGTTTTCACACCTTGAGAAATGTACTTGTCCGCTGCAATTATGTGACACTTTTTTCTCTTGATTTTGGCTTTAGCTCTGGCATTCTGATTACAGATAGCCTCATACAGTACACTTTCTGGTCACGCCTATGGATGACCTTCCTAAATTTTGAGGAACTCACTGTAGGTGTTAATGTGTTCCTGAGACCTGACTTGGTAGAACTATAGTCCTCACTGCATATGTTGAACACAAAGGTTGCGCTTTTGGTTGTCATCCACAGGACTTGTGAGTCCTTGACTCATCCACCATGGAAAAATATTTAGCATGAACTCTGTCTCATCTAGAGCTTTTCTTCCAAGACTGATGTGTACTTTGCATCTGATTTTCTAGTACGAGTCAGTAAACATAGTATAGGTGTGTGCTGGCATAGTTTTTAGAAGAATGGCCCATGTCTCCTACTTATATAACTTTTCCTTGTGTTTTTCTGTGGGGAAGCTGGTGAACTGCCACTCTTCGCACTGGCCTTTTTCAGACAGTAATCAAAGTTGTGTCTGGTTTTGTTACTGCAAAGGTATATACCATTTCTAGGGTATTTGCTATTCAGGGGCTTTCTAATTATTTTCTAATTATTACACACAGACACCCCACCCCAAGTTTTTGAGCATGTTCTATATTTAGCTCAATAACATTTATGCACATTCAGAGTAAAGTACATATTTCAGTGCTTTTATGAGCTTTTAAGCCTCTGCCATTACCTTCTGTGTTACTTGCCAGAACTGGAGGTGTTTTCTGCAGGGTATATCACAAGTATTACCTTTATGATCAGTCTGTGTTGGTGAAGGAACTGTTGGGCCCTTTGACTCTTTTCAGATTGCCTCAGATGTTCATGTTTGCAGTGCTGCATAAATGATTACAGCCCAGTTTGCTGTGCTTTGTATTTACTAGTTAGCACTGGTGCCAGATACCAAACTATTGCAGAACTTATTGCTCGATAGATAGGCTTTAATTTTGAGGATGAACTTTACAAGAAACAAGTTTTTCTGAACTAGTCTAATTTTAAAATCGGAAAAAAAATTATACAGGGACTAGTTTTCTTTCTTTTTACTAGAGATATTTATTAGGATATTGTGTTAGTCATAACGTATTCATATCTGGTCATGTTTTTTCTTCACAGCTTTATTCAACCTTATACCAGTGGGACTCCGAGTTGTTGCTATCCAGGGTGTAAAGACTGGGTTGTATATAGCCCTAAATGGAGAAGGTTTCCTCTACACATCAGTAAGTACCTTGCTGAACTCTCTTTAGGAGGCACAGCTGAAGTTGAAATCTACACAGGAATGAGATATTCACCTTTAAGAAGTTCTGTAATGTCTTTATATGTATATACACATAGTACACACACCATGTATGTACACAGCATTATCTATACATGGGATTAAGTAGAAATTACTGTGTGCTATGTATGAAAGTCTGCATGTTAACAATCCAAAAAAACATACTGTAGATCTCTTTTTCTGATAGGCTATATTGGTAGTGTGCCATATACCACAAAGCTTATAATTTTCAATTCAATTCTCCAAAATTTTTAAATAAAGACCTGCAGTTATTTTTTTAGTGACTTGTTGATCAGAATCCAAAAGCTGCTTCAACAGTTACTTTTATGGATATGATTTACAAGTGCAACTTCCATCTGAAAGGTCATTAACAACCTTACAGTTTATCATCATAATCTTGTAATTGTATCTTATCATTATTGGGGTTTTTATATCAGATATAAAGAAAATAAAGAGTTCTGTGAGGAACTATATCTTTGTGGAATGATCAAAGTTGAACAAAATCTTTTGAGTCACAAAGAAGACTGCTGGATAAAGTGATTGGAAAGATCTCATATTGTTTATGATATCATTGTTTATGATATTTCAAATGATTTAATGCTCATCACTCAGTGTGTTGTGAATATAAAATTCCTCAGATTTGTATAAATTTAGTGTCTTAACCTCCTTTGAAAGGCAAAGAGATTTTAATGTGAACAGACAGTTCTGTCAGGTATTAACAAGGTAGCTTAAAGGATTTTTTATTACTATATTTTTATTGACATTTTTGTGGAATTTATTTACATAGTGCTTTTTCCATTTTCTACGTCACATAGGTCTTAATTCCCCACTGAGTTACAATACAGTGCTTTGTTGTCAATGTCCATTGAAAGGAAATTGGAAAGATTAATTTTCTGATGCCTTGAGGGAAAGTATTCTGTTTGTTTCAAATATACACAATTGTCTTGGAAAAGCTAATTAGGAGGAAAAAATGGAACTAATCTTGAATGTCAATGTCAAGACAAAGAGAAAATTTTTCCTTATAAAGTGTCTGCTGGAAACTCCAGCAGTATTATCTACAATGTTTTTTTGCTTCTCTTCAAAATAAACATTCTGTTACAGGAAAACATGCAATATTTGCTGTCAGAAGAAAGAAAACTAGAAGGAAAAATCCTAAAGTTATTAGAAAAAAGTATTTACTGACTTTCCAGTTCCATCACTTATTGTGCGGAGTTCATTTCCGTATCATGGCATGAAGAGTATTTTTTGAATGTGTTGGCACAGTGAAGAGTACATTCTTGGCCAGCACTGTTTCTGAAGTGAGCACTCAGTCCTTCAGAAAGAAATACAAATTTCAGAAGGTGTACAGTTTCCTGATGGATAATTCTGCAGAGGGAGGGACCCTACATAAACAAATTCTCCCAGCCACTGTATTTATGTATTCTGGAAATAGTTCAAGTTAAATAAGTAAAGTGAGGCAAGGAAAGGAGTGTTTTTGTAATGTACTGCTTACTCTTGTTTAGAGAATGAAAGATGAGTGGTCCATTAAATGGCAAGGAGATTTGATGTATTAGAAAACACGGTGGAAGACTTTAGTTTTGGTATGTCTACATAATGATTTTCAACTTAACCTTTTCTCAAGTAGAAAAGTAATAATTTGATCTAATGAAAATTTAAAGGTAGTGGTTTCAAAACATCAGTACTGTAATACAGGTTTGATTGTTTCATATTAATGTATTGAAAACATTGGTAATACACTTTTGTCTCAGCAATTGCCTACTTTCAGCATAAATACTAATGAATTTGAAAATAAGACAATAAAGCATGAGGGAAGTCTGTCTCCTCCTGAGGATCAAGATGAAGAAATATTGTATGCAGAATTAAATACTGTCATTTGTAGAAAAGTATTTTCAACAAATCACTTTCTATTACTGTTCTGTTTGTGGATTTTTGACTCTTTTTCAAGTTTGTGTGTCTGTTGCACCTGAATGCTGAAGTTCTGTAATATATGTCACATATTTTTCCCTTGGTTATTTAGGGGAGGATGGAAGAAAAAAGTTTTCTAAGTTTTGTATGATGACCATCGTAACTGAAAAAAAGTGCTGCATAATGGGAATTATAGTTACAATTTATGTATATTTATATTTATTACTAATTTTTATAAGAATTTTAAAAATGGAAGCCTGAACTGTAGACTAAGTAGCATTTATAGTCTGAGACCAAAGTTCTGTATAGTCATTTTCTGCAGAATACCTGTGTCCCTTTCTCCATTCACAGTGTATGAAACCCATACCTTGTGAGATGTTGATGCCTTTCTTCAGAGACTGCAGGCCCCAGCTCAATTATTTTTATCATCATAAGGTTCACATCCTGTTGACTAATTAAGCAACAGCACTGACAGGAAAGGTATTATGTGTGAACCTGCTTTCTCTGATATGGAGTGTTCAGTAAGAAGAAAAGTACAGTGACAGACCAGCTTTACATACAGATCACCAAAAGCAGACTTACATTGTCTCTTGCCTTTTTTTAATTTTTTTTTTCTCAATGGTTGGTTGTGTTAGTTTGAGAGTCTCTTCTCCCCTACCCCCCTTACTTTATTCTGACATATTTAGGATTTTTTCAGCTATTTCTCAGAATTAGAACTATCAAAATATGCAGAATAATCATAGAAGAGTCTTATGGCAGTATTTCTTTGAACAGAAACAGGAGGACAGCAAATTGTGTAGGAAGGTCACTCTCAAGAGCTTTTCATACCTATTTTCTATTCTGTCCTTTGGGGATTGATCAAGCCAGGGTCTCTATCATACACCATCAAAGTCCTGTCAAAAAAAGAGAAGCAAGATCTTTGGAGTTTGATAGGGATTTGCAGAATTCCTGAGAGAAATTATTTTCACAAAATCATAACTTAATTTTTTCTATGCTTAATTTTTTTATGTTTAATTATTGTACTACCAAAATTCATTTTTTTCTGTCAGTTGAAATATGAGAACAATAGCCTTTTCATGTTGTGTTTTTCCTTGCACTTTTAAGGATTATCCCACCTAAAGACTATCTCACCTATTTTTAAGTTTTGGGTTACTGCATTCAACTTTATTTCTGTATGTATATACACATACATATGTATATTGATATATATATATACTCATAATTAGGATATATTTATTTAGTGACAGCTTTCAAATTCTATGTGTGTTAGTGAGTAATGACAATTATAAAAGTGAGTTGAAATTTATTTTAGTTAGTTTAATGAACTGTGAATAATTCAGTATTTATGACTGACTTCATAACTGTGAAAGATAGTTGGAGAATCTGGATTTTTCCACAAAGAACCATCTCAGTTGCTAGCAAGATTTTCGACATAATAGTTATGGACTTCATATGTTAAAGTCAAAAATGATGCCTTACTCCTGTCTTGCCTTTGGAAAGGGTGAGCAAGATGAGGTTTCTTTTTCAGGTTTTATCTTGTCATAATCAAAAGGAGTGAAACTGGCTCCATACACTGAAAAATGGAGCACAGCTACAGGGATTCTCCATGGGGAACAGGTATTGCCTGCAGCAGGAAGATGGCAGTGCAGTACATGGCAGAATCTTTTGTTGGGTTTGATGCTAATTTTGCTCAACTCCCTTTGCAAGTGATTCATTAGTTCAATTTTCATGGGGCTGCAGCTTCTTGTTTTGCTTTTAGGATTTTCTGCTGTCTTAGCAGGATAAACTCAGAGGAAAAACTTATGTTAGTCCATTTTATGATTCCTATTTTTCTATGATGAGGATATGAGATTCTTCTGGGTTTACATCAATGAATTTTTCTCAAGAATTATTTTATATATCTGGGAGGGTTTGGAAGGGCCACTGGTTTCCTTTCTCATCGTAGGAACTGGGTATTACCAACATTTGGTGGCTATCAGAGTAAAAGAAAAGGCAAAATCTAAAATGTAGAAAAGAAAAACCCTAACTCTTGAACACCTTCACCTGCTTGTGCTTTCTTCTTTGTGTTTCCTTTTTTATAATTTCTACTGCTAATTTTCTGAGACCAGAGATGTGGATAAAACCAGAGGGAGAAGACTATGCCTGTGATATTGTCATCAGTAGATGTTAAAGATATAGGAATCCACTGTCTGGTTTCCATTTAAGACTGAAGCTTTATAAGATGACTGAGCCTGAAGGGCCTGATCTGACTTGCCTAGTCAGCTCTTCCAGCATTGTGCACTATGGCTCCAGAGTCCTCTTCTGGGTATGGGGCAGTGGGAACCTCAACGGGAGGATGGAGAGACATGGCTGCATTTCTGAGAGGTTTACCAACTTTATTTATAAAGTGTTTCAGAATTAGGAATGTCACACCACTCACTGAACAGAAAAATCTTCCTGTAGGATGGTGGTTTGTATTTTTGATGTACCACAGTGCATGGTGTTGAGGGTGTTGGAAGGGTGTTGGTTGGGGTGGTGTTTCTTCTGCAGTAAGACGTCAGTCTGTGTCACAGCCTTCATGAGAGAGAATATCAATATCTGTTACTGGGAAGTGCATTTGTTATATCACTCTGGCAACTCTCACCTGAAACAAAAGCTTTTGAGGACTTCTCCTGACATTTCAGCAGCTTCCCAATGCCAAAATTTCCACCATTTCTTTAAGCCCACATAATTGACCTCACTGAGGAGAACCAAATTCAGCCTCATGGAAGAAGATAGTAGCACAGACAGTGAAGCCTGAGTGAGAACTGAAGTAGTCTGTATTTCTAATTAACACCTTATAATAAACAGAGCAGAAGGAAGTTTAAACTAGACAAAACCAAAGAGGAAATGCGATGTTTTAAAATCTGCAGGTTTTTACAAGAATAATCAGAAAGGTGCTAGCGTTGACATCAAGGCATTATTTTCTGTTATAACGGTAGTTGACCTACATTTTGGCAAAGATCATTCCCCATCTTGCAAGGTATTGTAGAAATAGTCTGGATATATCTGTTTAGAGAG